TGCGCAAGTTTGACTCTTGGCTTCCTGCCGCCATAGCCTGCTTTTCTACTGCATCCAAAACACCAGTTTGTGCAGTCACTAAAATGTGAAGTTTAAGTGAGTTAATTTCACATATCATGGCAAACCATTTTTTTTCGTTTGATGTAATATGAAGTTTAATGTAATATGTAAACATTGTTAAATTTCAAAACATAGCATTCACTCCTTTGTCCTTACAGTCCATATATTTTTTTATGATGTCACAAAAACCAGTTTATTTACATAGATCCACTTATTCAGCCTAAATGAGTTTAGTTCTGCCCATTCATGCTAAAGTAATAAGGTGTGTTTCAGCCCAGACTGCTTTTTGAATGAAGCATAGCAAAGGGCAGCCAATCAGAACAGTGTTCATTTAGATTTTTAAATTTAAACAAATTAATTTGAACAAAAAACAGCCTGTATTGTAAGGGCTAAAGAAAGGTTGGAAAATAGTCATGTAAAATTATACAACAGTTAGTTCCGGCCACGCAAGCTGATTGGATGAGAAGCGTTCTAACCGTGCTGTTATTTTGCCATAACAGCACGGTTTTTTTCATAAACACTGTATCACTCCGCTTTGACAGCTGTAGGAGACGCTCAGTAAGTCAGGAATTAGTGCAGCAAAAGTATAAATCATATAATGAACCAAGAAGTAAGGTAATTGCCCTGAGCAAGAATAGAAATAGAAGAAAACAAGAAGAATAGAACAGAAGAAAACAAGCAGACAAGGAAAAAACTGAGCGTGAAACGAGTTTAATGTGTTGGTCTGTGTAAGGAGCTGGAGAACGAACTGCTGGCTGTGCAGTGAGTGAGCAGAGTTCATTACTCTGACGTAGCAACAAGCTGCTTGTTAAGGAACTATAATTTGGCGGAAGGAATTGCTAACATTAAAACATATTAAATGCCACGTTCACCCAATTTATTTATTTCTTACTTTATTTATTTAACTGTTGTATAAAAGCAATAGAGCACTCAAGGTCGTGTGTTATTGCGATAACACACTGCCTCTCGTGTTCTATTGCTTAAATTAATCATGACACATTTTGCTACATAAACTCGCTTAAATGTCATAAATGGAACTCAGGAGAAGAAATAAAAGAAAATGTAGGATATGGGCCCTTTAAGGACATTTTGGATAATCTTTGGTCCATTTATCTTAAACATTATTACACAGTGTAAATTGCAGCTGGGCATATCAAATTATCTTAAAAATGAAAAACTGAGATATTGTTCTAACAGGGACAAAAATAATTAAAACAAAAGCAATTATGGTGAAATTTGAGATTTAAGGATGGTTTGAATAATTTATAAAGACTTAATCATGTTCACTTGTGTTTGTGTGTGCAGGTGCTCAACTACACCACTTAACCCAGGTAGGTCTGTCAGGCCGTTTGGGTGAGAGCAGACAACCTGGTGGCTTAAACTGTGGGCCTTATCATGAAGAGGACTTTAAAAGACCTGCCAACAGAGATCCCGTAAGTTAAACTATTACTATACACTCTTTTACACAGCTGATATTTCTTTTTTTGTGTCACTGCTGTCTTCTTCTGTCTGGAAAGTTGCTCTCTTGCTGACTTTTTGTGTTTTGCTTTTCTTGTTTCTTCTTCACCTTCACCTTCACCTTTCACCCCATTCCTTTCTTTTCTACCTTCTTCCTGGCTTATTCCCTGTCTCATCCAGGCTCCCAGCTCTTTTTCTTTTGACTACCCCCCCATTTCTTTGTTCCAGACATCCAGAAATGGTATGAGGGAGCCCACTGCTCCACCTGCCCACCTGGACTCCATCGGCCTGGGCTACCCCCCCTCTGCACCCATGGAGGAGTCCTCTCCTCCTAACCACTCATCCGCCTCACTCATCAAAGCCATCCGAGAGGAGCTGATGCGCCTGTCTCAGAAGCAAGCAGCTGTCCCGGGCTACCACAGCTGAGACCTGGCTCTGTGTATGGCTCCTTCGGGCCCTCCACACAGCAATACTGCACTGCACTGTACTTCCCATGGAAGTGGCTTTTTTGAGTGGGAAAGAAACCCTGTAAGCCCTGTAGGCCCTGCTGCTCTGCCGCAAGGAGCACTATGGTAGAAGAAGAAGACATTCTGAGATTTGTTAGGAAGTGACTACTTCACTGGTAGCCAAAGCTTTACCTGATATCAGTGCAGCTGAACATTGTATCTGACAGTAAAGGCCCCGTCACTTACAATCTTAAAAATGAAGGCACCAAAAAGAGTTAATTGGAGTGATGATATAAAGGAACCACTGTTGTTTTCCTAAAGATTTTTAAAAACTTTTTAGCCATCCAGTGTTTGGAAAAAGTTTTGTCTCCTTTATTGTTATTACTTTTGTCAAACTGTAAGCTCAGGCTACTTCGTAGCATTCGTAAGACTCAAAAAACGACAAAGGCTATATTCACATTACCAGGTTGAAGTGGCACAAATCCGATTTTTGCCCTAATGTGTTCTGATGTTTTCAGGGCTGTGTGGACACGCAAATCTAATCTTTTCAAATCCGACCTGAGCCACTTTCATATGTGGTACTAGATCGGATACGTATCCGGTTCGTGGCCATGCGACCTCTATGTGAACACTCAGACCTGAATTCATATGCTTTTTTTCCACTGCGTGTGTGCCATCATTCAGCGTTACTATGGCAGCAGAACCAAACAGAAGTTAAAGTCTGTAAACGGTGGAAAAGCAACACATCTCACCTTTTTTGCCTTCATTTTTCACTCTAAAAATGAACAGATGAGAGTTGTTCAGAGTTAATTATCTTCACAGCGAAGGCTCGTTCTGCTCGTTAGTTTGTTTGCTGATGACACACGTGATGACGTTACTGAGTAGGATGTGCACATGCAGGTCATGTCAGGACACCGGTTCGTTCACATTAATGACAGATTTAAAACTCTCCTAAACGAGTGTGAACCCTCCTGTCAGAGAGATCGGATTTGAGCAAAAAATCGACTTGAGCAATGAGGCTTATAATGTGAATGTAGCCTAAAAAGTTTAAAAGTTCAGTAACAGAAGTTTTAGTAACAAAAGCTACCCCTTCAGATGAGCTAAAGCTAACACTGGAGCTAGTCGCAGCAAAGTTAGATGACCAGGAAGTCTTGTCATCTGATACACAAGGTCTTTCAAAAAGCTTTTTAGAAAATCTAGTAACCCAGATAAAGTTTACCTTAACTTGAGATTGAGCTGTGAATGTGGTCTTCCCCACAGTTTAATCCAAAACTTTTTAAGCATCAGGAATTAAATAAAAAACAGCACCATCCTCTAGATGATAAGGATAGTGTGTGTCAAGCATTATCACTTCTTTAACACTTCTTAACACGTCTATTAATTTCTCTTTCTTAGTCTATTAATTCTGACTAATTTCCTGCTGCCATTGTTTCTCATTGTGGGTTTAAAGAGTTCTGTCAAAGTTTTTTCCTTCATTTGATGGATTATTTTGCAAATGGTAAATAGACATTTACTTATTAAGGAAGCAAAAGTGGTTCTTCTATGGCATTTTTCCAAAGAATCCTTTTGGGCACCTTCATTTTTTCATTGAACTGTACTCTGTGACGTCACTGCCCCATTTCGTCTCTTGGCCTCTGCTCATCGCAGATGAACGAAGCAACTCTGTTCTTAAGCACTGTATAGAAACAAAGGAAGAACGCTCTTTGATTCAGTACCGGACTTGTACATTTTCTCTTGTTTTTACATTCAAGATGTTTACCTTACTTACTGACGCGTCATGGCAACCCAGAATCTCTGGTAGCAATTAACAATTGTGCTCTTTCTCCGTAGCCTTTGAGGACTACAGCCAAAACATGAACACCACACATTCCTTACCACTTTTACTGCTGGAGGTGGTGTGCGGCGTGTCTGTTTGTGAGGAGTTGTATTGTTTTTTTGCTTTTTCTCACTGCCTTTGCATTCGTATAATCTTTCACCAAGCCTATGGTCAGTGAAAAACGTAAGGTTTGTTCCTGATACCTTAAAGAAAAGCTTTGTACCAGCATCTGTTACTTTATCATGCACTATTTTTTTCCTCTTAGATTTTGAGTAATAGTTCTACCCCTGGGCACCTCCCTACACTCTGTCCTCCTGTGGTGCTATTATTATTTTTCTTTTCTGTTTTTTAGTTTTCTGACCATGAACCACACATTGCCTTCAGCTGTAAGAGAAATGAGCTCTTAATCCATCTATAAATGTCAGAACAAAGGCTGATACACCTGAATCTCACACAGGCAAGGGTTATATTAACCAGACTTACAAGTCCCAGAAATACTGTAGCTTTCAAGAAGTACTCTTTGTATATTTGGTACACAATCCGTTTGTTATTGCTACCTACGGCACAGCTTATTGCTCTAGATAGTGGCTCTGAGTGTCTAAATCAAGAGTTTGCAAGAGGATGCACAAGGGGGCAGCGTTATTTGCGCTGCTGCTTACCCGAGAAAGAGTGGTCTTTTTTTTTCTAAACCTTTTGAAGCTGAACAAATTTATCCCTTTAAGAGTCAGTGCTGAAGGATGCTGAATCATGCATACAGTTCTTTCACCTGAACACATACTGCACAGTCAGTAACTGAACAGTAATTAAAACACGTTTCATTTAATTAAATGTCATGTGAGGACATTGCAAGGATATTATCTAAATAGAATGAATTTGGTTTGCGGACCAAAGTATTATGACACTGAAGTTCTGATTAACATGTTATCTTTTTTTCTAGTTTTGATAGCTTTAGACTGAAGCAACAAAGCGATGCAGTGCTCAAAACTACATTCCAGTAAAGGTGTTTGACACAATTTACAGTATTCATTTACACTATATTTACAGTTCAGATTGTTTCCATCAAGCTGTCATTGATTAACTGACTATATACTCCACCATTCACTGTGTTTAAAGTGTGTGTATTAGCAGAGTTCAGTATTCAGTTGCTTTTCCAGTAGTATTGAACTGAGTCCGAGACAAACTCAGTCTGTGGTACTGACCCTCACTGTACCTTTCTGTACCTTATTTTGTGCTCTAAAATGTGTTCCTGCTTTTCCCAAAAATCCTATGTTAAAGTTGAAACCTGAAGTACTGTTTTGGCTGTTTTTTTTCAGTTTGCAGGAAAAAAAAGAATTCTGCTTCTCTTCTGAATTGTTTTGGGTTCTGTTGTTTAAATATTAGTTTTCCGCTTTGTGTTATGTTGAATTTGTTGGTTTGATGGAACTCCCTCTACCTGTAGTTTGAATTTTTCGATTCTTTATTTAAATAACATTAACTCCATCTGTTGATTTGAGTGGTTCACTGGAGTTGCTTCACTTGAGCACCAACTTGTAGTCCATCGCTTTCTCCAGAAACATAGTTTCACCGGTTTTAAGAAGTGTATTAAATGATTTTGGTGCAAAAAAAAGATATCTCAAGGGCTTTCACATGGCAGGTTTAAAATGGTCTTGTTTAGCCAGTACCTTTGGAGGAGGAGGGAATTGGAATGTGCTGATGTGTAGAAGCACATCATTACTCACACTCAAATGAACTACCTGCTTTCTGTTCTTTATGAAGTCTTCTCTCAACATGAAAATAGTAACAGCTTTTAATGGCTATTGCACTGCTGCATTACTGGTATATTAGGTTTAAAAAGCTATACTGCTTTCTCATTCTATGCCCTGGAGAAGAAGCCTATGAATGTTTTTTTCATTGTACCATCTTACTTTAAAAGCATACTTTCTCACTTTCATGCATTTCTTAAAACTAGTCTGCAATTATACATTGTATTTTGCTTGTGTCCAGCTTTTGTAATTCACACTCAAGTCCAAACCTTAAATTTGAGAATAATTAACTAACTGGGTATGGCCATATGCCATAAGGTACTTATAATGCACTAATACTTTCCTCTGACAGTCTGCCTTGTAGGCCTCTCACAAGTGTCTTCTTAGCTGGTTCTACAATTTGACTACCTACTGCACCATCTGCTGGACAGATTGTGCATGTGAATTTTGAGACCCTGCATGATGTTAAGAGAGACACTACCATTCAAAAGTTTGGAATCACCTGCTATATTAATAATTTGTTATTTTATGTATACTAATAACTCATACACCATAGATTTAAATCTTATGAACGAGACTCCAAAAGATATTTTAAGATAATTTGTTCAATATTTTAAGGATTTGAGTTATATGATGTTGATTCTATATTGTAAGTATACATTTGCAATAATACTTTGTAAGTTTTGTGCAAGTTTTGATCACTGCTTGTGAGATATGTAACATTTTGTAGAACCTCATGCTTGATACTGTTTTGTAGTTGTTTTAAAATCATCTACAGCTCCTCCACTCAGATACATCTAACATTTCTCTATGTTTACGTTATGGTAACTTTTAGTGTCATATTAATTATTTGAATTTTATGAGTGTGCACCAGTCGAGCGCATTAATTTCATTTTGTACACTTATCTACAGTTATCTATTGTTTTTTAAAACTTTTGCACAATCATTTAGTCAATCTCACTTTAAAAATTGTATTTTCAGAAATTAGATGATGTTTAATTCTAGTATGGTTTCACTGGGTGGTCTGGGCTGCACATCCATGATCCAAAAGAATTAAACAGGTACACCACTGAGCTCAGGTTTCTGCTGTGCACATATGGCCGACTCTCCGCACTCTCGCTGTAGTGGAAACTGAAGTCCTGTTTACATCCTCCAACAAAAGAGTTCATCAATGTTTCAGTAGCTCTCTACTGTCCAATTTGTACATTGTGTAACATCATGAGTGAGTGCTAACATTTATATCTTCAAGCACCCAAGAGCAAAATGTATTCCCAGATCTGTTTTAAGCACCTTATTTTTTTTGGTTTTGCATAAAGTGCATATTTTACAGCTGATAACTGAGACTAAACTACACTATCTAAACTACACTATCCGGCCTCCATGAAGTTCCTGGCTGAACTTGATGACCTCGTCCACAGTCAGCAACCATAAAGAGAGTAGGAGCTGCCACAAAGTCAACAGACACTCTTTAACACTGCCTTTGTCTAAATAAATGAATATTTCACTCTTGGTAACCCCAGAGTGTTTGACACTGTATTTTTAACCGTACTGCTTTTGTCTTTATGATGGGCCACACAATGACTCCCATAACACCTTGCTACGCTCCTGTTCCTTGGCATGATTAGGCTTCACATGGGGGCTATCGCTTACTGTGGCCTAGGAACCGGACACCTCATCAACTCCAGAGCCACTGGGCTGGAGCTATGCAGGGACAATGTAGCCCAGCCTTGGCAGGGGGAGTACCTGCTCAGGTAATGGGACACCTGGACACCCCTACATGCAAACTGCTCTCTACTTGCTTCACAATGCTCTTGACAGTACCAGTGAGCAGGAGATAGAGAGAGGGTAAGCCAGGAATGAAGCTTGGTCCGTGTCTTGAGCCGTATGTGGATGTAGCCTGAGACTTTTTCAGAGGCACCAGCTTGTGATCTGAAACCTGGAATCGTATTGGAGCAGGATATGGGATCATTTGATGAAG